AGGGAGGGTAGTGGTTCTGAGGTGAGGCCAGCAGGGTTGTATATAAGGTAGGATGGGGCAGGATTCAAAAGTTGCTAGATGGTTCTAACAAGACTTCTTGGTGTGGGGGGAAGCATTCAAGGAGGGAGTATATAAGAAGGTACCCATTTGCTTTGAGCTAACTGATCTTGAAGCCAGGACATGGGACACACTGCAGTACAAGGCCCAGGGCTGGGAGCCCCTCCTGCCCCGGCACAGACCCTACTCTCCCCAAAGGCTATGTCTCCCACCCTTCAGCCTTCCTTATTGTTATCAGTCCAAGGGAGGCTGTTATTTCACAGCAGAGATAAAAGTTAATCACAGATTAGGACTGGCTGGAAAATAGGAAAATATCGATGACTTCATTCACCTGAGTTCCTGCCTGGGGGAAGTGTTCACGGCTGGGCTCTGCAGTGGTCAGACCTGCTCAGCCGGTTTTTGCTTTTTAAAACACAGGTCTGGATTTAAACAAAGGCCTGGCCCCATGAATAGGGGGCATTCTTTGGCAGTTCTGAGTCACCCTGAAGACCTACTGCGCACCCTTGTCTAGACTTTGGGCTGCAGCAGCTCTCTGTTTACTCTCTCACTTGCCTTTTCACTGGACTTAACCCCCATCACCCTTTACCGACCTCCCTCTCTCATTACAACCCTTATCTGGCAGCACATCACCCAAGAGACTCCCAAACAGAAAGCCAGACAAGGAGCACAGACAGTGGTTACCAAACACCGGTGCCCCTGTTCAGGGGCGGGGTGATTTCTCAATTCTGGCCATCCTGGTTGAACAGGAGGGAACTTATTCCTTGAGGGAACACGAACATGGGATAAAATTCAAGCAGAGTCTGAAATAAAAGTAGAATGGGATTTTATGGTTGGCACCAAGGGGTTAGATGTTAGGGTTAGGAGGTGCATGGGGGGACCGATGTAGTGGAAAGCCAAGTTGCTGTGTCTATGAGGCACAGGCTAGGTAGGGCTTCCCAGCCTTCCAGGCAGTGGGTTCTCAGCCTGTCCTCCTGGGAGGATCTGATCACACACTGAAGTCCTGAGCTCAGATGGGCTGACACCCTAAAGAGGAGACATCTCTGAAGCATGGATGCCCCCCACCCTGACCCTCAACTTCGGCTACAGCAGGATTGGAATAGCTGCCCAGAAGCCAAGAGAAGCCACCTAGAATATTGGAGGGGGCGAGAAACTGAGCTTTGATGAAAAGGCCAGAGGTGATTAAAGCCTGGAAAAGAAGGGTGACGTACACAGGGCTGGAGATGTGGCTTAGTTGGTAGAGTGCTTGCCTAGTATGCAAGAAATCCTGGATTTGATCCCTAGCACTGGGTAAAGTGACTGTGATGGTGCAGGCTTGTAGTTCTAGCACTCAGAACATGGAGGCAGGAGGACCAGAAGTTCAAGGTCATCCTGCCTACATAGGGAGTTCAAGACTAGCTCAAGCAATGTGAGATCCTGTCTCACAGGAGCAAAACCAACAAACAAATTATGCTATTTTTTTTTTAATGGAAGAAGAAGAATCCCAAATTACAAGCCGAAGAAATTCTTGCTTGGTGGTACTACTGCCTAGCAGGGAAGGACTAAGGCCTTGCTCAGCCTTCAATGCCACCCGTGAGCTACTTTTTCCTTCTTTCCTTTTCCACCCTTTCTCTTGATAGTGCTCTGAATAGAGCTTGAACGCACTGACTTTTCCAAGTGCATTGTCCATGGGGCTGGCTGTCTCCCCACCGCTCAGAATTGTGCTCCTTTTAGCTGGTTAGATGATAGTGTGTCCCAGTTCCTTCCTGAACCTTCCTTCTGTGTATGCCCATGCACTTGGAACTTTTATCCTTGGCTCTCATCTCTTGTCTTACCCTGCTCCCTGACATTCATCCTTTGTATACCCCCATCTACACATGTTGTGCTTACAAGGGGTGCCTCTGAGGATGACCTGGAGGGGTGGAGATGAGCGAGAGGGAGCGCACGAATTTAGAGGCTTTGGGTAGATGAGGTGACTTTGATGATGGGTTTTGATAGTATCAGCATTGCTACCAAGTGAGAAATCTCAGATCCAGAGAGAAGGTGCTCCAGGGATCAAGGACAGAGATAGCCCAGAGTGTGTGGACAGCTCAGAGAAGGCATGATGGTACAGGATCTGAATTCTGTGACCTCCGGAAAGAAAGAAAGGTAGACACCCTCCAGAGTGGAGAGTGAAGGGACTGAGGTTCAGAGAAGAAGTTCCATCAAAGCTGCTCCTTCCTAGTCTACATCACTAGAACATATCACTATGTTCCAGAGACCCAGTGAGGCACCTGTAAAGGTACCAAGTGTTACTGTAAGACAGTGTCCAGGAAACCAACTTCCTCTAAGTGAGGACAGGGAAGGTAATACTGTGGTACACGTGTTTCTACATTTTAGGGATTTGAAGAGGCCTATGCTGGATTCTGAAGATGATTCTTAATTTTATTTCTTTCCAAAGAAATAATATGCTTACTCCTAGTGACTCTTAAAGCTAATGACAGACTGACTACCCTTAAGGAAGAGACTCACCAACTAAAGAGCCCATGCTGGACCTTGCTTGCATGTCCCACAAGACATGGGGATCCTGGGACTGTCTTTCCATGGTTCCCATGTATCACTTGGGCTCCTTCATAAAAGGTCTCCACGGAGCAGAGCGTGCACTGTTATAACACATGCTCACTTCCCTGCTGAGAGCGTGCTGGGGAGATTTCAAGGTACAGCATTAGGAGGCGGGCTAGGGTGAGGTGGGAGCCAGAATGGAATTCCAGCTTGTAGATCTTCTCGTGCCATAAGCCTGCTGCTCAGGCAAGATCTAACCCATCGTAAAAGTAGACAGGTTAATGTATTCTACAGATATTTTACAAAAGAATAACAGCACTTGTTACACGTGTGGGTGGGAAGCATGCACTCTTCTGAGAAGTGGAGTAATTTCCTATCATCCCAGCTCTGTTACTGGGTCTAGCCTACTGTTCCCAATGTCATAAACATGCCTGAGCCAAGGCTGGGTGCTGTGTATCTGTCATGGAAGTGTCATATTTATTTTGATTTTCAGTGATGAAAGGGCACGCTCTTCCAGAAGGCACATCCAGTCTAAATGAAGTAACACCTGAGGGACTTCCTAGTGTGGTTCCAACACCCAGCAGGGGCTCAACCAGTGCTTCCTTCCCAGGAAGGAATGAGCGTCGAGGAAAACCATGACAGGAAGGGATGGGAGTTTGCTTTCAGCTGGTATAAATCTAGACCACAGGCCCACACCATGTGACTCCAGAACAGCATCCCTGAGTCACTGGGGAAGCTCAGTATGCCTTTTCCAGGGACACCACTGTGTTTACCAGGGACTGACAGAGACCTGCCATGACCTGCGCCCTAAGGCATACTGAGGTCAGGGCCAGGTAGCCTTTGTCTTGGGAAACCAATGTGCAGGGAAGGAATGCTGGGTAAAGGTATGTTTTTAAAGGGATAAACACATGCAGATGAGGGAGGAAGGAAGGAAGGGAAGGAGGGAAGAAGGGAGGGAGGTGGGAGAGAGGGAGGGACAAAGGAAGGAGAAAGAAGATGAAACAAAGTTGATGGTGATGATTTCTGGGTCTACAAGTAGAGTCCCTCATTTGAGTCTAGACTCTTTCCAAATAGAATTTCACCATCTTACCATCTATTATTGAAATGTATATTAGAGTGTACAGTAAAATGATCCCTAGTCCTTTACGACTGACCTATTCGTATGAGGCAGATACTGCGGATCCATCCTTCCATGTCCTAGGCACTTGGGGAAGGGGCTGCACACTACCTAGACTCAAATGGGAGTTCTTTTACTGCGTGTCCCATCCTCCATCCACACCGTGCTGAGTCCCCAGCATGTGGGGCTGGGTCAAGACTGTAAAGAGTCTTGGAGCCTCTGCTGACTCCCTGTCGTGGCCAGGTACTCTCTGTCCCCCACCACTTTCTCTCTTCTGACTATTGACAGTTCTGTGACTGCTCAGCTTCACAGGAAAGGGCTCCTGTATTGCAGGCTGAGAGAGCCCTGCCTGGGAGACTAAAACATCATGTTGCTGAAGTTTAATCTGAAGGTAATGGTTTCTTTATTGTTACATAGTCAACAAATCATAAGCACTTACTGGAAACAGTTTGTACAACTAAGATAAAGGAAGAGACCCTCTGGAACCCTTTACTCTACACTGACATTTTCTAAGAATTGACTGGCCATCTCCTTTATCCATTTTTCTATTTGATTATTACTCTTGGTCTTCATTTTGTTTTGTTTATCTTGCTGATTAGTAGGGTTCTTGAGGAGGCCTGGATAATAACCTAGAATTTTGGGTTTGTTTTGAGACAGGGTCTTGCTAGGTAGCCCAGGCTGCTCTCTAGCCAGCAATCCTCCTGCCTCAGTTTGCCAAGGGTTGGAATTACAGATGTGCCTCCAAGAATCTATGTGTGTACTTATATATGTGAATAAATGTGTATATATGCACATATGCATAAAATCCACACACATGTGTGCATGCACACACACAGTATATCACAAATGTCTTCTACTCTTGCCTGTCTTGATCTCAGTCTGTAGCTATTTGTGGTTTTGAATCAACAGTTTCACATTTTGATGAAGACAGATTTATCACTCTTTCCCATTTTCCCTCGTGATTTTTCCTGCTCAAGACCTTCCCTATTTCTATCCCAAGGTTACAAACACATTCTCACATACCCCCTCTTAATTTTAATTAAAAAAAATTTTTTTTGAGACCACTGGCCTCGAACTCACGGTGTAGCTGAAGATGACCTTGAACTCCTGATCCTCCTGTCTCTCTCTACCAGCTGAGTGCTGGATTCTAGGTATGGGCCACCACAGCTGGTTTATGCAGTGCTGGGGATAGAACCTAGAGATTCATGGATGCTAGATAAGTACTCTACCACCTGTGTTACATCCACAGCACCCCATACTTCCTTTTAGTACTTTGGTCTTTCTTTGACACAGTCCATGCCCGTTTTACCTATTCATGATTCCGCCTCTGTGATGTGACCCAGCTCCAAATGGGTTCCTCTTCAGGGGAATTTTAAGGAAGTTCTTGCCATGGAGTATCAGGAACTTATTTTCCATCAATTCTTGGAAATGTTTTCTGTTCGCTGCTGATTGTCTGGTCTTCCTTGCTGCCGGGTCGGGTGTGGAGGGCCTCAGGGGTCAGACCAGAGGTAGCTCTTTGAGCTAAGTCTGACTCTGTCTTTGCTCACTGTTTGCTAACTCATGTGAGAATTCTGCCAGAGACAAACATCAGAAGGGCTTTTTGTCTTTTCCTCTGCTCCCTGGAAAGCTAGAGCCTTGGGCTGCCCTGTTCTTCTGGCACCTCTGAGAGTGACTGGTGTATAGCTGATCTTTTGCTGGCCACGCTCCCCAACTACAAACATCCAATAGCAGAAAAACACGGGAAAAAAAAAAAAATCCCTTTTTGCTGTGCAAATATACTGCAGAAAAAAAAAAGTGGTCTCACATGGGTTTAGACTCCCTTCTAAAAAAATATTTACTTTATTTTTAATTATGTATATGTGGGGGGTTATACATGTGTGAGTGCAGGTGCCATTGGAGTCTAGAAGGGGTGTCAGATACCCCGGAGCTGGAGTTACAGACGGTTGTGAGCTACCCATCATGGGTGCCTATCTTAACTGCTAGGCCATCAATCTCTCCAGCTCCAGCTTTAGACTCTTAACACTTGAGTCTTCTTTCCTTGGCTAGATCATCACTAGGATAATAATTTCAAATTCTACACTGCATTCACAGTGTGTTACAACTGCGCCACTATTTTAAGCTTCACATCCATGGAACACTGATGTCATGGTGGAAACATGGGACACTGCATCCTGTTGTAAACTCTACTTTGACAGGTCAACCATACAGGCTTCTCTCACCCCTTGAGGTCTTTTCTAGCTAATCTTCCTTCTCCTGCAGATTTTAAAGGCCCATCTGCCTACAAAAAGCAAAGTGGTTCAGTTGCTTCAGGAAAATACATAAAATGGAAAATCTACTTGTTGGTCATGGAGTTCCTGCTCTAGTCAAACCATACACAACATGCTTTGCATGTTCCAACAGGGAATGTGTGAAAAACCAGCAGCTGCTGCCTTTAGTGTTAAGGCCCAGTGGCTGTCTTACCGTCCACGGTGAAGCTTGAGCCTTCTCTGAAGTTATATCATAGAGGTACATCTTTGTCCCCGGGTAACCATCCCAGGAGGAAACCAGGATGGATGGAAGGTAAGATTTCTGCACAAGAATCAGAGGGAGGAAGCTTCTATATGTCCCTTGGGATTGAGGTGCCAATTTCTTTGGCAAGACTAGTGTTAAGTCCTCTCTGTGCCCAGTGCCTATTCATCTCTCCCGTTGCCTTGGTCCAGCTCTCCTCCACCTCAGTGTGTGGACAGAGATTTTCCCAACTCCTTCAGTTTCTTCTTCTGCATGTACCACCTCCCTCCCCATCCAGTGACCCCAATGGAAGAAATTGGACCCCGAATGGAGGTTAATCCCACCATGGTGGCTATTGTATATTGGCTGGGGGCACAGGCTTCGGGATGAATTCCACCCTGCCAGGCTGGGCAATTCATCTCTTGAAGTCTCTTCATCTGTTAAAAAAAAAAAAAAAAAAAGGGTTAATAATGCCCACCTCACGGGCCATGCTGATTACAGGTCATGAAAATACTCAGGTTAAAATATTCCCAAGGAGCCTGGTATGGCGGCACTTGAGAGGCTGAGGCAGGAAGGTGACAAGTTTGTGGCCAGCCTGGGCTACATAGTGAAATGCTGTCTCAAAAGAGGAAGAAAAGAAAAAGAAAAAAGAAAAGAGCCCTAGAAATTCTCAGTACAATGTTAAAACAATCTTTCTCTCTTTTGCATGAGTTCAGGTCCATTCATCCAGGAAAACAAGTCAACAGGCTGCCGACTTCCAGGCAAGCACCAAGGGGTACCTTTAAGTTCTCAAATAAAGCATGCTATCCTGGTGTTTTATGTGATTGCTTTTCCAACACTGTACACATTTCCTGCCTTATACAAGGTATACCAGGAATGCAAATGAAGTGTTTCCTTTGTGACCCAGAGTCATGAAAGCAGCACAGCAGTTAACACCCTTTACTCAGTGTTCAGTGTTATGCAAGTGAGCCGTACCTACCTGCTCCTCAATGCCAAGTCCTTCCCATTGGCCCTCGTAGCTCTTCTTGGAGACCAGACAGGGCATCTTTTAGTGCCAATTTTCTTGGATCTGGCCTTTTAACATGTTCTTCCCCCATCCCTGTCTGTCTGTCTTTTTTTTTTTTTTTATGTAATTACTGTCAGTGTATTTATTTGGGCATCCTGTCAAGGGAGAAGGAAAGGAACCCTATGAGTGGAGATTATTCAATTATTATTATTTTTCTTGTTTAAATATATCTTTCTGTCTTTCATAATA